AAGCGCCTCTCCACGTATCACAAAGTGCTGTCTTCTGCCAAGATCGTTGCACATTACTTTAGTTTGTTCATAATAATTTTAAGACCTACTTTTTTGCTTTCCATTTCCAGTTCAGTAATCATGAACTATAATTCCTCCCCTGAGTTACTCATCAAAGCAATGAATTCAGCCAATCGCAGGTCACTAAGGTATTCTCCATTACCCATTATCCATAACCCTTCTCAGTCTAGGGTCCTGAATACCTCCTGTAAACACGCAGTTAATACCATTGGAGAGATGGTGTCTCTATGCCTTACTGCCTTCAATATTGGGATTCTGTCGCTTTCTCTATGCAGAACTATGATGGCTGTGGATCCTCTGTAGATTTCTTCCAGTATGTTTATGTACGGTTCTTCGATGCCTTCGTTCCGTAGTGCCTGCATCACTGCTGATGTCTAGACTGGGTCGAACGCCTTCTCGTAATTTATAAAAGCTCTGTTTAGGGGCTGGTTGTATTCAGCGCATTTCTCTATTACCTAATTGATAGTATCAATATGATCTATTGTCGAGTAGACAGTGCGAAGTCCTGCTCGGTTATATGGCTGAGTGAACGGTAGTATCATCCTAATTCTATTAGCTATTATTTTTTAAAATAGTTTGTGGAGAACGGAGAGTAAGCTGATCGGCTTGTAATTTTTCAAGTCCTTCACGTCTTCTTCCTTATGGATTAACATGATGTGGGCGTTCTTCCAAGAATCTGGTACCCTTCCCGTCAAGAGACACTTTGTATATAAGGTGGCTAATTTTTCTAACACAATTTCTCCGCCATCTTTCAGGAGTTCCATTGTTACGTTATCCTCACCAGTGGCTTTGCCTCTTTGCATTCCTCCTAGGGCTTTCCTTACTTCTCCTGTCGTTACTGGTAGGATGCCGAATTCTCTTGGACCATTATAGTTTCTTGCCACACAATCCTGGTTATCTTGACTTCTGTACAGCTCTCTCCAATATCCTCTCTTGCCATCTCGACTATCCTGTCCATATTGGTTATGACAATGCCTTGCTTGTTTCTAAATGCATACATCCAGTTTTCGGCCATGAACAAGTCTGCCTTCGCAGCTTTTAGGCTTCTGCCACTTTTTACATCCTGTTCAATCCTTTCCATGTTATACTTCATGATGTCGGCTACTTTGCGCCTATTTATTACTTCAAAAGCTTCCCTAGCCGTGTTTCGTCGATTGCATTGGAGGCTTTCATCGTTTGTCGTCTCTTAATAAGATTTATTGCCTCCTGAGATAGTTTGCCAGTTTCCCGTCTAGTGACTCAACCTACAACTTCAATTTCACACTCTTTAATGGTACTTGCAAAAGTATTGTTCATTGTGTCAAATCTAACGTCGCGTATCTCATTTAGTGCTTCGAATCGATTATGAAGCAAAACATTTAATTTTTGTATTTTTCCTCTCACCGCCAGTTCATTAATTGCCTTCTTGGGTATCACTTTTTGAGTTTGATTTTAAATGTTGGTGTTTACAAGCTCTCACCATTTTATGGTCACTGCATCTAATCTTGCCAACTAATTCTACATTCTGTACAATGTCTGAGCGTGCACACAGAATGAAGTCAATTTCATTTTTAATTTCGCCATTACGACTTCGTCACGTCCATTTACGATCATCCCGTTTTCTGAAGAAGGTATTCATATTCAGTAAATCATTGCTTTCTGTAAACTCTACTAATAACTCCCCTCTGGCATTTCTAAAGCCAATGCCATATTCTCCAACTGCATGGTCTTCGTACTTTTTCTCGCCTTTTTGATATTAAAGCCGCCCACAAGAATAGTATACTGTGTCTTTACTTTAATATAGGGCGACTCTACGCCTCCATGAAAGCGTTCAACCAAATGATTATGACGGCTCGATGTAGGCGCATAAGCTTGTACCACCTTCATCTTGTACGCTTTGTTAGACTTAGTTATGATACTTGTCACCCTCTCACTGAAGCTATAACATTCTTCTATATTGCCAGCGATATTCTTGTGTATGAGAAGCCCCACTCCCAGTTTTTTTTCTGTCAGCTAATTCACGGTAGCCTAGGACGTGTCCATTCTTCAGCATTGTACGTATTGGCCTCGCATGTCCTCCTAACTTCGCTGAGCTCTATCACTTCCCATTTACCACCCTCTGATTCCTCGAATAAAGCAGCTAAACTAGCCTCACTAGATAGCGTTCTAGTTTTGAAGGTAGACATGTTCAGATTCCAATGGTGGCCGGTCCGTAACCAGGGATTTTTAGCACCCTCCGCCACGTCAAAAGGTCTGACCGCCGCCTTAGACTGTTGCTTCGCAGCGGCTGGGGACGGAGGGCCAAGGGATAACTGCTGTGTTCATTGGAGGTTGTGGCCAGGTACTGCAGCAGGGTGGCCAATCTTGCTCTGGTGAGGGAGTCCATTACCAGGAAATGGTCACCAGTGAGGCCACACCCCCTTACCTCTTTCTCTTTTTTCTTTTTAACGATTCCTTCCTCACGTATTTTAAGTAGACATAGAATTTCGAATGGTTCGACATCTCTATTAGAGTCAAATTTTGTTATGGCATGCTTGACTGCTGCACCATGTCTAAGTTTGTTGCACTTTATTAGCAATGTAGAAAATCTCCTGACCGCTTATTAGCTCCCAACTTCAGTTGGCTCGTCGCTCACCTAACCTTTGCTTCTAGGTGTCGGTAAATCAAATTTCCCTATTTAAAAAAGACAAAAAAAATGGCTGATTGCACGTACAGTAGGAATTGATGAAATGCGAAGCACAAATAAGGAAGGTTGATATGTCACTTGAAGATCGCCACAACGTTACTAGGAGGAGGTAAATTATGCCATAGACGACTTCCATGTCATGATTACCATGTTTGGATGTGTCGTTTACCTTCTTCATCTATTCAAGTCACGTGATGCCAAATTTATTATATGTGAGCCTAGCGAAACGGCCGGGAGCACTCTATAAACGTGATATGTTGTCATGTTCTTACATGACAGGCGTGTAATGATTATCATGTTTGCACCAGTCATATACCCTCGTCATCCATTGACGCCACGTAAGACCAAATTTGGTATATGTGGAGCTAGCGAAACGGCCATGACAGCATCATGAAGAGCCCAATATATTCCAACGTAACGTTGACACGCCTCCACACTGGGCACAGCGATGCTATACGTTAGCAGAACGTGAAAAATCTATAGTCTGACGCCAGGTGTGCCTGGCGCGACTATAGCGTCCGTCAGCGCGGCCCGACGCGAGCGAGATATGCGAAATTCTGCATTTCACGCCCTCTAGGTTACCCAAACAGCACTGCGTCTGCCCCTTTTCGTAGCGGAGGGACGCCGGGCGCGCTGAAACGTGCATCCGTTATAGCAACGCATCGCGATGCGCGCCTGCGAGTATATGGCAGGACCAGTGACTGAAGTCGCAACGCCGGCGTGAGGCAGCGAATTGAATGCCGGCGCGCACGCGCACCGTGTCACGTCGAAGTGTATTGGCGCCTTGACTGTGGCATGTAGTAATGTTGTCACATGACGCGCATCTCATGATTATCATGTTTGCACAAGTCACATACCTTCGTCATCCATTGACGTCACGTAATACCAAGTTTGGCATATGTGAAGCTAGCAAAACGGCCACGATCGAATCATAAGTGTGGCGTGTAGTCATGTTGTTACATGACACGCATGACGTGATTATCATGTTTGGATGTGTCATTTACCTATGTCGTCCATTCAGGTACCATAAGATCAAACTTCATATATGTCACGCCTACGAAATGGCCGCGAGCGCATAATGAGCGTGGCATGTAGTCATGTTGTTACATGACACGCATCTCGTGTTAATCATGTTTGCACCAGTCTCATACCTTCATCATCCATTCACGTCCCGGAATATGAAATTTGGTATAAGTGAAGCTAGCGAAACGGCCGCCAGCGCATCATGAGCGTGGCATGTAGTCATGTTATTACACGACATGCATCTCAGGAATATAATGTTAGGGTTTGTTGCTTGTGTTAGCCATGTAATCTTGTCATACCATACAAGCTTTTTAATATGCTATGTGAATGAAACCTCTGTATGAGGTGTAGGACCATGAAATGTGAATCATGACATTCATGACATACATGTCATGACTTTTTAGTTCCGACTAGTCAAATATGTTCTTCATACAGTCACGTTATGCCATACCAAGTTTGGTATTGATACGATTATCTAAACGGCCAGGAGAACTAAAAGTCGCAGGCGTCTAGATAGGTAGATAGATAGATAGATAGACAGATAGATAGATATATAGATAGATAGATACGCTCAAGGTCGCCGAAGTTCGCCAAGAAATGCTTCACATTTAAAAGCACCCTGTGCGGTTTTAAACTTGTGAGCTTGTGAGCTTGTGAGCTTGTGTCGGATTAGTGTCTTGAATGACCCTCCTTCCCGCGCCTTTGTTTTCGCCTACCCTCTTCCTGTCATGCTCGATATTGACATTGTCTGTGCGTTTGCGCTGCCTTCGCATCGCCTAAAGACAGTGTGTCGTAAACGCGTTTGTACAGCATTGGAGTCGGTGGCAAGTCAAGTTAAAGTCAAGCAGTGTTGCTGAATATGGGGGTAAATCTACGCTTGTTGTTTCAAGCTCTACCATTTTTTGTTTGTTAGAGTGCTAACTTAAGGTACACTGATTCGGCCGTGAACAGACATGGGTTTGTTCGAATGCAGTTCAAGTTTAACGAGCTTCTCAAAATGCAAGAGTATGGGCCGCATCAGTCAACTTACGTTGCGGGTGAATGGCAAAAAAAACCACGCTAGAATATCACACAATGGGTGGCATGAATACTTTGACGTAAATTCAAACCTTGCGAGATTTACGCAATACAAAGCGAGTACAAGTCATTTTCTATTAAATATAAGTGTTCTGGACATGTGCACCGATATTATGGGCAGCGCTGTGTAGTTCAACCTTGAAGATGTTTTGTCCCCGATTATTCAGCGATTCATATGTTCATATTATGTCTGCTGTATAAAACAATCTTCCAATTTCTTGTAGTTGGCGCAGGATCCGCAGGATGCGTTCTGGCCAACCGTCTCACAGCTGATGGCACGAAAAAAGTGTTGCTTCTGGAAGCTGGTGGACTGGAGGGTGCAGCTGTACAGGTCCCATTTTTTTCGCCTCTTTTACAACGAACCAAAATTGACTGGGACTACACGAGCGAACCACAGCAGGAAGCCAGCTTATCTGTCGATGGCCGGGTGATTCTACATTTACATTTTTTTCCTATAAAACGGGCCACAAGAAGATATGTATCTAGATGCACAAGTGTTTCATGCTCTAGTAGTATTACCGATATTTTCTTAGAAGGGCTTCGTGTATGTACTTAGAAAAAAAGAGAAAAAATTACCACCCATGCGCTGCGTAAAAATGATTAACCAGTGAAAGCTGAAACGTGCGGCCCCGGTCTATAGAAGTAGGTTCAACCAGACGCTGCACTGAAGCCTTTCACTATTATTGGTTACATGTAGGTGCTCCTTAATGAGGTTAGACAAAGGTTTGGCTTGGGTTTACCACGGTATTTATATCGCATACCGCAACTTCTGCCTCGCATAATCAGTCATGGAGAAGTGTAATGAGCGGTTAAATGCGTTTCGCAATATGTTATCACAATGGTTGTTCTCGAACCACAGGCAGTCAGAGACGTCGCAGCCGAAGCCACTATGCCGCTGCAGAAACTCCCGGCAAAAGCAGGCATTCTCCCGGCGAATGCGCTCCCGCAGTCATCACGTTGACTCTATCGTGCGCCCGCAATGACGTTTGTCCGGTGTGGCATTGTGGAAGCATTGGACATCTTGACATCAATTGGCGGCGTGTTTTAGAGCATACGCCCGCCATGGACGCTTGCATTCCCGTTCGCAATTTTGTGCAGCTCGGAAGGCTGCCTAATCATGGTACGCAGTTCTCGCCGGCACGCTGACCCCTAAGCCTGTTTTCATGCCCGTGCTACATGCACCATCGACCCGGTAAATGCGAACTCTATCAGAGTTCCCTCGTCGGTGCTTTTTTAGAGATGTCTGTGCGTTTCCACGTAAAAGGTCTTAGGTGAAACTGATGCGTGCGTTCTTGGCGCTCTGGTGCGATGCGATGAATGACGTCACTCTCAACAAAGCCAATCCCGTGCGTGCTGGGGTACGACACGCAAAACGACGTAGCTGATAGTACAGCCAATATAGACCACCCGTGCCACCGATACCGAACAGTCTTTCTTTCCCCTAGCCTAGCCATATACAGCTTTCACTGTTATATCAAGCAATAGCTCGGCTCGGCTATGCCAGGATACACGTAGCGTGACCTAATAAGGTGCGCTAAAATCTGCCTTTCACTCATGGCAGTCATTACTGGTGTCGAGCATTTTATGTGTTACATACTTTGACACACGACGCATACATATCCAAACGGGTTGCTAGCTACGTGCTTCTCGTAGGTCCGAGTAGCACTGGTGCTTTCGATATGTTTAAACTTATAGTCAGTCAATGAGCCTCCTGGAGACACCGGTTTGCGAGACGTCCCCCCCTTGGCTCCTTGTCTCCGCAGCACGTTGAGCCTTCTTCTGTTCGTCTTTCTTACGGTTAACTGCTAATTTTCAGGCAACTACTTCAGCAACCGTTGAGTTGCTTTTCTTCGTAGGTGAGCAGTAATTCACTCTCCTTCCTCCGCCGTGGTGGTCTAGTGGCTAAGGTACTCGGCTGCTGACCCGCAGGTCGCGGGCTCGACTCCCGGCTGCCGCGGCTGCATTTCCGATGGAGGCGGAAATGTTGTAGGCCCGTGTTCTCAGATTTGGGTGCACGTTAAAGAACCCCAGGTGGTCAAAATTTCCGGAGCCCTCCACTACGGCGTCTCTCATAATCAAATGATGGTTTTCAAACGTTAAACCCCACAAATCAATCAATCAAATCAATTCACTCTCCTTCGCAGTGGCTACGCCACAATTGCACATACCGCGTTATACGTATGTAGGGCCGTGGCAGAGGCGAACATAGATAGCAGTGTAACTCAAGGAGCATCTCCAAGTGCGTCTGCTACGGCTAACACGTCACTCCTTAGGAATACGCAGACCGGTGAGGCAGGCGCAGTCAGTGGTCTTCGCGCATGCAGAACACGGCTTTTGTACGTGAATTCAAAAGAACTTTGGCTCGGTCAGTGTAGCTAACCCTACAAAACGCGAGGCGTTCGCGCAGCCTGTGGCATACACACGATAAAAGTTTGTGATCGTGATCTCGTGATCGCAAGCTATATCTCGTGTTCGCAAGCTTTGAGATGACTCGTGTGGAAATTCGGCAGATGCTACGTAGTATGGGAATAGATGTTATATGCAGATGTGGTGAAGGTTGTGCAAATTTTGATTAGGTGACACGTGGTGAAATGTCGGTAAATATATTGTGACGCAGGTCATGACGTTAACAAATACAGAAGACGGTATATCAAACACGTTTATTTGGCGAATCTTGTGGCCTCTAAAAGGAAACTCGGATTACAATACACACTGGCACTGATCGCGGCGTACAGAGCGTCGGTCGGCCTTCGATCAAATGACAAGTGGTCATGCGCGTCATCAATTTTACGTGTGCCGTTGAATATTCCAGTGTTATCGCTAGCTGCCACGTAACTTCCAAAAGAATCTGTAATGTTCAGTTGTGCACCTAATTGCATCTGAAGGGGCTGAGCTTATTTCGATAGTTTTTAGTCAATACGCATCGTTTCGCAAGGCAGCACTTACACTTGTAATAAGACCACGAAAACTCTCTAGCAATGATTGTTGCATGACCCTGCTCAAAAGGCATCACTCCGACCCTTTTACAGAATAATAAATACAGTTCTAAATCTAGAAATAATAATAATAATAATAATAGTAACAATAATAATAATAATATGAACAACAATATTGTCTTGTGTTTATCGTCCTAAATTCACTATATGATTCTGAGAGACGCCGTAGTGGAAGGCTTCAGATATTTCGAGTATCTGTTGTTCGTTAACGTGAACTGACACTTCACAGAATACAAGTCTCTACCACTTCACTTCCAGCGGAATGTGATGCCGTGGCCGGGATCACAGCCGAGCACTCCAGCCACTGTTCCACGAAGGCCGACAATACAGCAAAAAGCGTACAAGCAATAAAATCTAATAATAAGCAACAACAAAAACACAATACTTAGGCTCAATAACGCTCAACAAACGCCTTGAGGCGCACGACCTGGGTGACTTCAGGTCGCGCACAGCGCCATTGAGTTTATGATGCCGTCTGGGACAACCTTTTAGTCAAGTGGACCGAGACGTTGGACTACCCTGTACGATGCGAAGTACCGTTGCCGACGCCTGTAACTGAGTCGACGTCGGCCTGCCGGCGTCTACACCCAAACATGGTCACCCGGCTGGTATTCAACAAATCATTGTCGAAGGTTGTAACGACGGCTGGCCGTCGTCTGTTGGTTTTTGATACGGTGGCAGGCGAGTTGCAGGTATTATGCCGCGCGCTCAAGCTAGCCGGTGACGTCGAGGTTTTTGCGTCAGTGGCAATCGACAGCATGGCATCCAGGATCTTTTCCGGGTTTTTTCCGTAGACCAACTTGTATGGCATGGTCTGCGTGGTATTCTACATGCCCATTTATATATGACAGTAACGCGCGAAAGTATAGTGTCGTATGTCTTTTGTTCTACATCGGCGTAGATGGCCAGCATGTCGGCGGTGATTTTATTCAGACTCTCAGTGAGGCTGTTCGTTTGTGGGCGGTACACAATTGTTCAGCTGTGGCTTGTCTGGCTATATCTCCAAATTGCGTGAATTAGGTCAGCAGTAAATGTGATAGCTCTGTCGGTGATGAGCACATCTGGGGCACCATGTGAAAAGCCTTCAGACAGGGCTACCTTTGGAGAGGCCTTGTGCTTCGGCATAGTGGGTGAGGTAGCCGGTAGCTATGACGACCCATTTACTTCAGCAATTCGGCGTTTGGAAATGCCTCAGGAGGTCCACCTCAATCTGCTTGAGTGGTGGCCGAGGAGGTTTGACTGACTAGAGGAAGCCTGGAAGTCTTGTAGGTGGTGTCTTTCATCGCTAACGATTCGGCACGTCTTTAAGTAGCGAGCGACGCCGGTTGCAAAGCGTAACCAATGGTACACTTTCTGTTCTCTTGCACAAATGTGGAAATATCGAAAGTGTCCAGCAGTTGGCTAATCGCGTAGAGCCTGGAGGACTTCTGGTGGCATTGCATGAAGGCACGACGATAAGGTAGTCGGCGAGAAGTGGCGAGAAATTCTCCTTCGTGAGAACGCCGTTTCACCAGAAAAACTATGGGTCATCTCCCAGACGGGAACCCGGATTGGATGCGAAGCAGAAGCTGTGCGCACGCGTTGACCCAGTTTAAACAGGCGTCGACGTGGGGACTGGAAGAACGGTTTGAAGCGAAACTTTGTTAGAGGTCACTCGAGTAATCATTTGTTTGCAACCAAGAGACAACGGGGGCGGGAGGTGTTGCAGACGCTTCCTCTCGGCGTCCTTGGCTCACGTCTCGACGGTGTTACCCGTGCGCCATCTGTGTTCTCGAATACAATTGGTGTTTCTGACTCGCACATTGCCGGTGTCGCTGGTCTTCCAGTGCCGACATTCGCGTTCGGCTTCCATTACTCGCGTCTCACTGGTGTTGACATCATCATTTGCGAACGTGAGCGGCTTCGCTAACCCTCGCAATGCCGGCGACAGCTGGGAAAGGTACGTGCACCCTGGCGGTAAGCGTGCCGCGATGGCGTCCCACCCGTCGGCGCTATCGCGTGGCAAGCAGCAGTGGGCTGTTCATATTGTCGGCGCCGCAAGATTCTCGAGGTGCGCGGAAGCCGGCTCACGGCTTCTCACCGACAGATGGAGAGAGGTGGCGCGGGTGAGATGATACCCACGTAGGGAGTGGGCTCGAGCTTGCAAGCGGTGGAGAGGGTGAAGCGAGAAAGCGTTGCCATGCGGTGAGTGCTTGGTAAGCGGGAGAGAGAGACGTCAGTGCGCTCTTCTATAAGGGTGTCAGCTACTTGGCACCACACCAACACCTGCGGTGAGGCTAGCAATGCGGAAGGAGGAACAGCGTTACACATCGTAGTCAAAGAAATGCTTTGCATCTAAAAATGACGCAAGTTCTTGCTTAAATGCTCTCAGGACAATGGTTGTCTCTCTTTAGAGGTACTCCACAAGGCCTCGGAGTTCATACTTAGTAGGCTCAGTATTGTTCGCGAAGTCTTCGGCATTCTTGTTCATGAATAAGTCATCCTCCTGGTCATGTGGTGGCTGCGGGTGGCTGTGGGACAAGCAGTCGGCGTCAGAGTGTTTTCGGGCGAATTCGTAAACTGTTGTGGTGTGGAATTCCTGAAACCTCTCACTCTATTTTGTGGGAGGACCTGAAGTATAATTCAAGTGGCTAGCCAATACAAAGCGTGGTGATTGCTCACACCTTTGGAGCACCTGCCATGGAAGTAGGGACGAAACTTAGACGTAGCCTACATAATTGCAGAGCACACTTTTTTGATGTGGTATTGTTACCTTCTGCCTTGCGGGGCGACAAACTGGCATCACTAATAACCCTTTGCAATCCATTCGTCTTCTTCTCAAGGACGGCGCCGAGTCCTGTGCTGCGGCTGTTTGTGTGTACTTCTGTTTCGGAATGTTTGTCGCATTGTGCAAGTAACGAAGGCGCTTTCAGGCATCATTTTAGGTCTGGAAATGGTTCCCTCTGCGGCATTTTCCGCTTGAACTCGACGTCGGTTCGCGTAAGCTCAGCGATGGTTCGGTGATGCGGGCAGAGGTTTTGATGAAATTCATGCACTAGGCACACAGAGAGATAAATCAACATGCGGCTTTGTTAGCGGGTGGCGGGAATTTAGTAATAGCGACTGGCTTTTGCGATTCAAGGCGTCCTCCGGACTAGTTATTCACACTGCCCAAGATCATAAGTTCAGCTTCCACAAAGTGGCACTTAACTGGCATCAGGTTGAGTTGGAGGTATTTATTGCTTGAAGGTCAGCTTAAAGCAGTGGATGTATTCGTCGACTTGGGAGGAAAAGGCAATGATGTTGTTTAAATATACAAAGCAAGGCTACCACTTCTAACCATTAGGTAACGTATTCATAAAGCATAGGGAAGTCGTGGGGGCCGAGCAAAAGTGAAAAGGCATAACCTTGAACTCAAACAGGCTGCCAGGTGTAGTGAAGGTAGCCTTTTTCTGTTTTTTGTCGACTTCGATATTCCAGTAGCCTAGCTGTCTTGAGACCCATGGATGAAAACTACTTCGCGTTGTGAAGTGGATCCAGGGTATCGTGTACCCGTGGGAGGGTATACACATCCTTCTTCGAAATTTTGTTGAGGGAATGATAGTCGACACAACAAAGGAGCCTTCCGTTCTTCTTGAAGAAGACCACGGAAGGCACATTGAGACTCTAGGACAGTTAGATTATGTCTTCGCGATGAATTTTGTCAACATGTTTTTTAATGGCTTCGAGATATCCCGTTCAACCTTCATGCGGCCTTTGAAGGAAGGGGTTGGGCGCTTCCTTTTGATAAGCTACAATGCTAGGTGACTAAGGTTTCTTGAAATCGCGACGACTACGAGTAGTCCTGAAATTGCAAGATATGGTTTGTGTGCTAGTCTTACTTGTGCTCTAGGAGGCCTAGGTTAACGGAAGAAACTGTCTTGGAAGGCCGATTCAGTGAAGCAGGTTCGGTAGCATTGGAGAAGGCGAAAGCGTTAATAGAGTCTAGGAATTAGGCGATGTAGGTGACCATCATACTTATGTTCTGATGCCTATAATAATGTGCCTATTAATTTGATGCTCAAAAAGCGCATGTGCCAACAGCTGTCCCCGTGAAAGATCAGTCGTCGGCAGCTCCTAAAAAAGCAGGAAACCTGCCACCCATTTTTTGCCAGCCGGAGGAACATGAAGGGCCACTAGTTAGTGGACGCCACATTGCTCGAGAGGCGACTGCAAACATTGGGTCAGGAGGCCATGGTCGCAAGCGCTATTTCGACGGGCAATAGTAAAAGAATCTTCTGCTCTGATACGCGCGGCGTACTTACCACCTTTTCCCATAAGGACAACAGCAAAAAACAAAACTGCTACACTTCATCGAGGGACCATGTTACACGAGCTTCTTGTACAATTAGGTGAGATCAGATTCACAAGATTAGCTGTTACGCTTTTTCATCTAGCATTTATTTAGTCGTTATTGTATTGATTCATGCTTCCTCGGACAAAACGCGGACGTTGGCTATCAATTGTTTTCTGCCGATTACAATTATTTCTCTAGGACAAACAGAAAGGCAAGGTACTTCATTAAGGTCCTGAGGGGCCAGCCAGTAGAGTTCAAGAGATGACCCCTGGCTATATGTTAGCTAATCTGATATTAGAGGCTCAAACAACGTTTTTTTCTCAGATTAATAGATTCCCACGTGGCAAAGTATTTGGTGGCTCGAGTTCAATCAACCATGTCATCTACTCTCGAGGTAACCGCAAGGACTTTGATAATTGGGCGTCTTTGTATGGCGCCGAGGGCTGGTCTTACAAAGACGTGCTTCCAGACTTCATCAAGATTGAAACATCGTACCTAGGGATCGACAATGGTAAGTGACAGACACCAGAAATATTGTGCAGGTGGGTAGTACCTATAGTTGCTCTATGAGTGCATCAGTTAGAATATCTTTTTGGCCCCCTTAGCACCAGAAGCATGACGGTGGCGAGGAGTTCACAGTCAGTGTGCACGATTCAATACTTCATCATACACAAAGCGTGAAAAAGGAAGTTACACAGTAACAATAACAGCTACAGCTAGCACTGATTCACAACACAAAGCATACAAGCTGCTCACAACAAATGTGCAAAAATGCATTACTTTTTGTATATGGCTGCATTAAGATGCGTAAACACAAAAAAACTTACAGGCTTTGCCTAAGACGGCTGAAAGGTAATACTCATCCCCTTCTATTTCTTAAAATATCTCTGTTGATGCTCGCCTGCATCAGTACAGAGCTTTTTGTGCCAAGAATGGTTTTTCATTGATTCCAGTAGCAGAGACGAAAATCGGAGGCGCTGCAAGTTTCCCACATATGTGCCAGTTTCGTCCTTCCTTCATGAATGACCCCCTTTCAACGAAGCGACTGTGTCACATGATGACATCTTCATGTGATGTCGCGTTAGGTGACGTCATATTTATGTCAGATCTTGGCGTCATCGCATCATCATAATTTTACACCAATAATGTTGAGGCGCGTGACACCTACGGTGACTTGTTTATTTGTATGGCTGAAGCTCACTGAGAAATTCCTCACACATTGTTCCCCAAGTTCTCGAGGAACAATTAGCCCCAAGAAGTTGGAGTGGCGCCTGCAGAAGGCAGGCTTAGGTGACGTCATGGCACGGACTCTTCGATGCTCCCCACCGCGCCCCTACAAATTTATGCGTTCGCCTCGTGCGCTCTTCCACTCTTTCTGTCCACTGTCTGCTCGTCTGAACCTGCAGATGAAGGATCAGAAAACAATCAGTAATGTTCCTGTTAAAACAATAAATGTTCCCTTTTGCATCTGCACAATTGCGCGCTCAATTATATGCAATGTTAAAAGGGGGAAAAGGTTTGTGTTGCGCTGTTAATGCTTAATATGATCGATTACAATCTTGGCCACGGCAGCCTCATTCCTACGGAGTGAAAAGCAGAAATACACATCTTCTTGGCGCATAATATAGTGATCTTGAGACGCAAGGCACAACATATGCATCGTTAGGTTGAGCTGTTCATGTGTGATTCCCATAGAAGACATGAGGGTTCACCCTCGTCTAGGGCTGTTTTTGTTGGAGGCATACACGCATTCGAAGACACTGCTGTAACTGGTGTGTCGAGACCCGCGCTGGCTTGCATCATCAAGTTATAGTGACCTAGAATGCTACGTCACTCTAATCAAGGCTCGCAAAATATATCGTAGGCACTCGCCCTAGAACACCACCGCCACTTTTGTGTCTGTTTTTCTCTGGTACTTGCCCACTCAAACGCGTTGTTCCGTTTTATGTTTCTCACGAAATAATATTACAGCTTCATTTCACCGACACTATTGAGGTTAAGCACGGTTGAGGTTGTGTGCAAAAATTCTGACTGCTGTCAGATTATATCTTCGTGCAGACTTGTAGCAATGGTGCTGTTGCCTTCGTAACTACTAGATTGGATAGCCACCTCATATATTATTTTTCCTTGCGTCTTATCTCCTGTTCATGAACATGACATACGAGACCAGTTGTCGCTTCATCCAGGCGAACATTGTTTAACCGTTACTTGGGCCACGTCACTGGCTGGCCATCGAAAACTTTCATTTCAACTTCCTAGCATTTGTGTTAGAATGGTTGCTATCAGTGGAACTCCGATGTGAAAGGAACATTCCTGCTGATGACGTCATGGTATTCCTCCCCAGCATTTGACGCAATTAAGAGTATACGACTACACAGTCTCCAGGCAGCTTTTGAGAGGAAACATGTATATGTGATCTGAGTAAATGGACATATCCAAAAACCTTCTAAATCGTTGTGTGTGGCGGAACAATTTCGTCTATTTTCTGAATATGTCAAGTTTGGGCTTATGACAGTCAGATTCACGTGAAGTGTGCCATTAGAAAAATCTCAGTTCTTTCAAATCATTTAGATTATTCACAGATGCAGGCGCAACTTTCAAGGTAAGCACAATGTATTTAGAGAATTAGAACCGTCCTAATTTCTTTTGTGATATTTTGGCACACATATTTTTCTGTCCTGAGTCCAGGCCTTGATACAAACACGTTTGCACTACTCAGCATAATTTTCTAAAGCACTCATTTCTAAGCAAAAAAGGAAACAGTTTCGCAATAAATCTGTCGTTCGTATGGGAAGCTGCCTGTCCTAAGCTAAATTATGCAAGCATTTGAAAGCCTGAGTAAGCTTAATTCTTTATGAAACCTTCCAATTTGTGTCTTGAGAAATTCGCGTCACACAATTGAGGAGTAATCACTGACGTATTGCTACAGAGTGGGAAGGTGGCGGGTGCAGAAAAAAAATACGAGTGGCGGTGGAGAAGGCGAGTCCATGCCGGGTAGTCCCCTCGCCTTGATTGTAGGGACACCAGTGTTCGTTTTCAGTGCTAATAGGTGCATTTAAACATGGGTATCACACTGCAGGGCAAAGGCCTCTCCCATGATCAGGGTTGCCATTGGTACCTACTTACTTTTTGCCAAAATGGCAAGTTTTCGAGGCCCATCGAGACCTAAAATTGCGGATGGTGACGTGGCGAATTTCTGGCTAATTCTGGCTTACGTCTCGACTTAATTATGCACTTTATACTCACTGCCTTCAAAACGAACAGGTGACAATGTTTTCTGTATTTTTCGTAGGTTTAGACCCACCAGTAAAAGACGCAACTTACGTAGAATTCAGAGCGTTCGTACACTGAGAGATTCTGGAGCAACAAGTGCACTGATGCGTCTGCCAGCTACCTTCCTGCAAACTTTAGGCCAGTGGACTGCTTCATGCGCCGCGATTGATTGATTGATTGATTGATATGTGAGGTGTAACGTTTCAAAACCACCATATGATTATGAGAGACATTGTAGTGGAGGGCTCTGAAAATTTCAAACACCAGCAATTTTTTAACCTGTACCTAAATCTGACCAGATGTGTCCACAATATTTTCGCCACCATCTAAAATGCAACAGTCGCAGCTGGGATTTGATTCTGCGACCTGCGGGTCTGCAGCCGAGTACGTTAGCTACTACAACACCACGGCATAGCTTCATGTGCCCCCAGACGGTGACAATATACTGAGTGCTTTAAGTGATTTAGATCCTTAATTTATTGTCTCGCTTCTGAAATGGCTCGAGCACGGTTAGGTTGCATGCATTCAACATAGCTCCAACTGTCCTGAATAGCTTGTTGGCTTCTTCACCTAGGGTTTATATTTGTTATTATTATACGTCATTGACCGGCACAACTGCTGGCTTTTTTAGGCAGCCATCAGAAGCTGCACTAAGGCTGTTTGTGTAGGTAATATCTGATGTGTAAAAATCACTACACAGAAAGCGTAGTGTAGCCATTGCGGCAGGTATGCAGTACTTGTTGATTAATTTTCTCTTTCTTTGTAATTAGGTTGTTCAAATATTCGACACGTGATTCCACCGCAATGAAGTTTTCTAAAGCTGCAGAAACACTAAGCACACTGTTTTCTCTTGTTGTAGCGACTGTTTCCAATTTGTTGCTATTGTGTTGGTTGCTCTGTCTTTGTGGCAAAGGGAATAGTATTTTATTTTAATGAATTTTTTATTTTTTGATCACGTGAAAATGCTCCGTTTTAGTCACGGAAAGATGATGATTTTTCGCTCGCAACAAAAAACTTTGACGCCAACAGGAAAATTTCTGCGAAATGAGCTCTATAACAGTGCTGCGTTATTAAGCACTACATGACTATTTCCACACTTACTGCTCATGCCCTACTTAGCAACTAGTTTGTCTGTATAGTTGACCATAATGGCGTTGTTCTCAGAAAACCACGCCTTAATTTATTCACAGTGGTTGAATATAATTTCTAGTGCGCACCTCGGCGCAACCGTTTGCTAACCGTGCTTGAGAGTGCAGGGTATCACCACCGTGCCACGTCACCATGAGGTCCCCTTAAAAGTAAATATGAAAGCTGTAATTGGCTAGACAATTTAGCGTGTGCCACAGAATTTTGGGCAAAGATTACTATACCTTATTCTTCTATTGAAACGAAAATTGCACAACGCGGCCCAGCTAATAATACTTTCCTCGATATACACTATAGGGAGCTGTGACGCTTGTGTCTATAGGAGCTGCAACGCACGGCGCTTCAGTGAAAGTGGGAATGAAGGGTAGTAAACAGATTTGCCTCTTTTTCATGCTTTTGGCTCCGTTTGCGTTCGTTTGGCTTGGAGCTATTTTCACATAAATCAAAATCTGCAACTGTTCAGAAGTTGCGCTTCATCTTCCTATTCTTTTAGACTTACCATTTCAAATCGGGTAATGAAGTGTAAAAAGGTTCGTTCTTAACTTCGCAACAAAACCGAACCACATCAATAAAGGAAGCCACAAGAGCGATTCGCCACCCGCAAGTAGGACGTCTAGACAAATGCGTGTACGAACCACTATTTCTATGATCGCTTATAAGTAGATGGATGAATGTAGCCGACTGTACCCTTATAGATCAGTCAGCGGCTAACACCACCTAGGCATAAAGTCAAGCACTATCGCGGAGTGTTGAAGGATTGAATTTCACTCGCTCCTCGATTCTATACATTATTCAGTTAGCCTCCTCCTGGCTATTTCTACCAGTTTAAAGTGTACTTTGTCTTCACTGTCCCTAAACCCCAATCATTTGAAGAATTCTGCGTCATTATCTTAGACTTTAGGGAGGAGCCCTTTACAGAACATTATCAAATGTTCAGCCATTTCCTCCTCCTCTCCACACGTACTGCATAACGTGCACGTGCCTTCGTATTTGGCTTGGTACGTCTTCGTTTGCAATACTCCCGTTCTGGCTTGGAACAGCACAGAACTACTCCGAGCATTATTGTACATCTTTTCTTTTGAAATTTCCTGC